CGAAGAAATTATTCTCATTTCAAGAGGACACTTTAAGGCTAGGCAGCTTCCATCATTGCCAAAAGCCATAGCATTTCTGTGGATGACTTCGCTGATTCGGGCAGTCTGGAATGTCCGAGGAGCAACCGGCTGGAACGGAAGACAGCGCCAATCGCTCGAGAAGTAGCGCATTACAAGTTGGGCATCGCTGCTCTCAAAGGAACCTGCTTCTCCGCAAAAGGCTAGGTGGAGGAGGTGGATGCCGGTTACACTTTCTTCTTGAGCGCCTGCCCAAAGCCAGAGCAACGCGACGCAGGAGTAGCCCTTGCCATCTGGAACGACATTGTGGGACGACTGCCCTGTTTGTCAGCTTGCATCTGCCTCTTCACGGAGCCAAATTCGGCACCGTCATAGTGTTTACACATCCCAATGCCTACCTCCGACGAGGGAATGTCAAGTCTATGCGAGCGTGCCCGCGCTCCTGGCAACTGTGTCGAAGACGGAGTAGCTGGTCCTTCCTCTTGACTTTGATGACCGCATCGGGGAGGGCCACATTGCCCGGAGGAAAGTGTTGAGTTCCCATGGCATCAGCGGTTGTAAAGACAACGGCCTCCTGCTGGCACCAGGATAGCCACGGCTACCAGGACCTCGTGTTTGGCGTCGTCTCACTGGCTGCCCCAGGATCTCGCAATCGCGAATGCTACTTAAATGCCTGAAGAGGTGTGGTTTACAGTAGAATGAAGCTAAAATTCAGTCTATTTCTAAGATTTCAGATACTAGTTGGACACTTATGAATCCCCTGAATCAAATCGGAATTGTATTTGACACAGCTAACTCATAGTGCCGGCGTTTACCACGCTTTTGCTATGACCGTTTCTACCAATTGTTTCGATCTATATTCTACGTGCTTTATAAGGAAGAAAAAACACCACACCAAGGCGTTTTATTCCAGTAGACCCAAAAATATCTAAGAAGTTGCCTGCAGCATGTTATTACCGACATAGACAAGGGAGACTGGGATGATCATTTCTGGCTTATTAGCCGTCGTCAGCCAGGCATACCCAACCTGAGGCTTGAACTCACGACCTGGTAGTTAGAAGTCCAACGCCTCAGACCACTGAGCCACGAGCTCGTTGTCCTGTCGATTTAGATCGGGAATATACAGTGGTAGGCGGACGCTCAGGAATTATACATCCTGAATCCCGGTTTTGACTACGATTCTCTTCCCGGAAACACGCGCTTTTCCTTTGATTGTCTGGCATTTATTTTTATTTTGATAACTATTTTATAGTCTGCTTTTGAAAAGGAACTACGCTTGGTAGGGGGGAACGCTCACCGATCACTCTTATGCGACTCACTCATTCCGTTGTGCCTTACGGGCTCTCTCTCGAGCACAACCAGCAGCCGTACAGCGGCGCATAATATAGGCAGAATGTTATGACCTTTCAAACCGTAATTTATTCCCCGTCGCATTTCGTGATCGTTTATATCGTACCCAAATTAACGGTATAGTACTACCCCACGGATTGGCCGAGCGCCAGTCACTTGTGGGTGAATTCGTATTTAACGAAGTAGACTTGCGCGTTATCTACGGAGCTCCCTGCTCCAATGGCAAGACGAAAGAAAGCACTCACGGGCGGAGTGGTCAAGAAAGTTTAACAGCCCATCTATCTCCCTAACAAACTGCCAGGCTCCTGTGAGTGCTAGTCGGAAGTCTCATCAGTGAGAAAGTCATCCGATAGATGCAGAGGAAAGGACAAGTTACTAGTCACAATCGTCACCTCCACACAAAGGCAAAAGGAAACTAGCAAATAAGTGACATCCACAGAATCATCTCCCTTTTCGATACCTTAGGAAAAATTCTCCACTTGCTCCCTCACTGCAAAAACACATCAATGTTGTTCTTCACAAACAAAGCGTTGGCAGACTCATAGCTGAAATTAACAGGTATGGCGGCCATCAGATCTTGGAAAAATTCACTTTGTTTTTTCAGTAGATGCGGAGACCAGGACAAGTCAATCAGGCCTCAAGGACGTCACGATCGCCTCCCCTCCCCCCTCATACAAACGCAAAGGAGGCCAACAAGTATATGAGATCCACAGATTCGTTTAGCTTTTCAACATCGCAAAAAATGCCTCACCTACGTCCTACTCAGTTAGCGGAAGTTATACTAGGAGTAGGAACCTTTGGATGGAAGTCAATGTGGATTTCGAGGGAACCGAAGAACCATCGAAATAATCTTTGCCACCATCGAGCGATGAGAGCGATGCCAAGGGATCTGAAGCAAGTTTCTGTACTCAATCCCGCACTCCCCGCTCTCTTGTTCTTTGCCCTATTGACAGGAGTCTACCATGAGCAGTAGTCAACAATCAACATCGTCTACCGAGCCAATGAGCATTTACTGAACATCCGGCACATGCAGGAATTTACGCGGGTCTCTATAGCGCTTGCTTGTCCAAACGGTTAGTACACGGCGGGGTCGTCAGGGTTGTCCACAAACATGTCGGGGACGAACAGCTATAAATTAGTCAGGATATCCGAAAAGTCCTTGCACAGGGCCGGCACCCTGCTTTGTGACGTGAAGTCGTAATTAACGAAGCCCATCGTGTGTAAGAGACCAGAGCGAGATGACGTGTGCAAATCAAACATCGGATATAGCGGATCAACGCTGCTAACACTGGACACCTACGCATTACCAATCAGCGTTCAAGACACGCACCACCTCAACAACCATGACACACTGGTGCCACCTCCAGCGACATAACGGAGACAAATCCACTCACTTACCAACCTATCTCCTCATCACCGCCACCAACGGCATCTCCGGCAATGTGAATCTAGTTTCCATCCCCATCCATCGTAACGGCTCTTTTGTAAAACTCATCGGTCTGGTCGGCCACTCGAGGGTAAATTACACTGGTGAATCAGTTCAAGATGCACGCCGGACACTTACGTGTCATCTGCCCAGACTGACTCAGGACATCCGGCCACCGCATGAACCTACCCGATCATATGATCATCCATAACAATCCTCAGTAAAACAACACGCCCATAACCCACTACGGCAGCTCGTCCTACACGAAAACAAGCCCACGCTACGCTGTAAAAGAATACTTTACGCGGAACCTCTAAGCCTAACACTACAATTCACCCTGACATCCAGTTTGCGGGCATGCACACCTCATCAAGGAAAGCACGTCGTTCGGTGGGCCTGGCACGTGACGCCGACCCAGGTCGTCTGTGGCGAGCGTAGACGAGGTGGTCAGCTCTGTCAGCGTCGCGTGGTGTGACACAGATAGGCGACGATGTACGTGAGAGGGTGACGAATCTGCATACTCTTCACCGTAACAAAACTGATGAACTTTAGAGGTGTTTTGGCAGATTTCAAATAATTCATTTTGACCCAACTGTGAAAAACTCGGTGCCTCGGTGGGATTCGAACCCACGACAGAAAGGGGAGGCTTTAGTGCAGCCAACGCTCTAACCATCGGAGCTACGAGGCCCCACCGGACGACGCGAGTTGAATCACATATGGGTCACGTTTACCTGCCCAACTTAGCGCAACGTCTGGAATCCACCAAATCTGATCCAGTAAGTTGACCGCCCAAGCAGGATTTCCTAAGTAAGACATGTAGATTTCACCATATGACTACCGGGCTCACGTAATTCAGAGGTGTTTTGGCAGATTTCAAATAGACAGCATGTTATTACCGACAAAGACAAGGGAGACGGGAATGGCCATTTCTGGCTTATTAGCCGTCGTCAACCAGTCATACCCAACCCGGGAGTTTGGAACACCCGAGGCTCGAACTCGCGACCTGTTAGTTAGAAGTCCACGCCTACCATTGCATATTCCCGATACAAACCGACAGGACAACGGGGTCGTGGCCCAGTGGTTTGAGGCGTGATCTTCTAACTAGCAGGTCACGAGTTCGAGCCTCGGGTGTTCCACACTTCGGGCTTGGGTATGGCTGGCTGACGACGGCTAATAAGCCAGAAATGGCCATTCCTGTCTCATTTGTCTTTGTTGGTAATAACATACTATGTCATGCGCCGCTGTGCGGCTCGGAAGAGAGCCCGTAAGGCACAAAGAAACGAGTGAGTTCCATAAAAACAATCGGTGAGCGCCCCCTACCAGATTTCAAATAATTCACTTCAGGCCAACTGTGGTGAACTCGGTGCCATGGTGAGACTCGAACCCACGACAGGAAGGGGAGGCTTTAGTACAGCCAACGCTCTAACCCATCACGCCGCGCCATCCGCCGTGGCTTGGGATAACCCAGTTCTTCACAGGATCAAACTGCAACGGCTTCTTCTTACTGTGGCCATCGCGACATCCCAACGTAGCGAGATTCAAAAGCCCTTAGCTAGATGTAGGCTGGTGCTCGTAGAGTGGAGGACAGCTCATGTACGGCGCGCATGGACAGGCAGTTTAGCTTCGCCAGCCACCGCGCACACGCCCACCCCCGGCTTCTTAACTTTGTATTGTCGCCAAAGAGAGGCTGGTGAGATAGATGCGTCGAAAGTCTGCTCCACGCGCAAGTCACCGTCGCCGAGCCCGCCTCATGGGGCACCAGTGTATGTCGTCATTCGTAACGGCCGCATTTTCGTACGTGCGGAAGACCAGGTTGAATTCTGCGGGAGATTCTCGTTTATTAGCCGTCTCCAGCCGGCTACAAGTCAACGATGCTCCTGCATGCATATATATGCTAATTAAGGTACAAAAGATAGCCAGAGGACTTTTGTCTCTCATTAAAGCGATGCGTGTTGGGGCAAAGGTTCGCTGAAAAGGAATAGGACAGAGTGGTAAACACATTGCACAGTACCGGCACGTCACCCTGAAGGCATCCACACGCGCGATACAGGAAGCTAAGTCAAAGGAATAAGAGAACAGGGGAAAGGAACTAGTCTGCCTTGCGTGTCGGTCAGCGCTAAGGAGGACGGCTAAAACGAGAGGGAAAGACGACAGCTCGGCGGCGGAGGAAGGGGGCTGGGTGAAACGGAGGTATCGCCCCACGCAACTAGGCCGATGACAGAGACTGTACAACACTGCTGGGGATTCGAGACAGGTAAGAGCTGTGCCAGGCTGCTACAGGCGTGGCAAGGACACCCATGGTGTTAATCGGATTCACCTCCTTCGAGTAGGAGTAGGGTTTGCCGTCCAGGCCGGTCAGTCGGCCGCCTACGCAGTTGAGAAGGGCCTCCGGGGCACAGGTGTCCCATCGCTTGCAGCCACTGTTGGCGTAGACATAGCTGTGTGCCACGCCCTCCAGCAACGTCAACACCTTGAAGCCGCAGCCGCCGATTTTGAGAACCTGCGGTTAGAGACAAGAAAAAGCCATGAAAAGGCGAAAGGGGCATGCGAAAGTGCGGAAAATACCACAACCGGCATCGTCAACTGAAAGGTAATGTGACATATGTCAGGATCCACCATGCTATGTACCGATGGCATGACGCAACATAAGGTGTCAGCGAAAATGGGCTGAAGGAGGTCCATGATGGGATCACCAATAAAAAAAGATTAGCAATATAGGTAAATGTTGTATCCAGTTGGTCAACGTTGGAATTCTCAACGCCCCCCCCCCCTTCGCAAGTGTTTCCATTTTGGCTCCTCGTTGACATCCCCCCTTTTCTCCCTCTGTAACCCTTTTTCGAGCATAATTCGTGTTCTTTTAATTAACTGGTCTTATTTTCCGATCTTGAACTGAAAATTCGATTTGTCCTAACAGTGACAAAGGAATTCTTTGGATAGGGTACCCATTATTGAGGTTTGCATGTTTTCACTATTACTTACATCCTATCAGTAGTACCGTATATGCACCGGAATCTGTTTTTTTGGCTTATACGCGTCAATAGTAGGAGAGACTGGAAAGGCCACTTCTAACCCACTTGCCAATGTCAGCCAGCCACACCCCAAAACCAGACAGCGAAGTACGAGATTTGGACCCGGGTCCAGTTGGGAATTCAATCGTCGAACGGTGTCGAGTGTAACAGAGGAAGCGGAATGAAGAGTATAATCGGCCAAAATCGTGGCAGAACATTTCGTACGTGAAGAGGATCTCTGAAGACGTAGCTAGATCTCCCACGCCACCAGAGATAGGAGATGTTCACAGACCTGACTCAACAATCCACCGATAAGTACTGCGGACAAACAGATGTCGGCCGTTGTCTACCAACTTCAGAGCAGTTGTGAGATGTGCAACTACGCTAGGGAAATTAGTCGACGACTTCAAACGCGCATGCGCGTACAAGGTTTGGACCCAAATGGGGCACATCTTGAACGCTGACGCCGTTGAGATCGTGGGCCGATGCGATGATTGTACTGCAACGCAGGTAACAACAGCCTGGATGTCCACCGACTGCTCTGTCAACCGTCACCATAATTCTCCTCCCCCCCTCCCCGATCTGGTTTTACAAACCTTCTTGACGGGGAACAGTCACGGCGCGGAACAATCAGGGCCGCCAATTATCTCCGGGATCAACGAGGGTGGGGAAGACACGGGTCACGGTGAAGTTCGGATCGGATACAACAACACAGGCGGCATTAGCGGGTTACACATCAAGCAAAGTGCGCATGACTTCCTAGTCTCTGAGAATGAGTGAGCGAAACAACTACCCAAAACGTCAGACCTCCAATAAACCTCTCCCCCAGTGAACACATCCTCCCCTTCTGACATGCCACCTGGGAATCGAATCTTCCCAACTACTGCTCAGTCAGACTCCTTGCCAGTTGAGTTACAGTCTCACGTCTCACTGGGATGCTCAAAGTTTTGTGAACTTGGTGTTTACCAGTCAGGCTTGGCCGCAGCAGAGAATAGGAGCGTTTCGGTCTGTCTGGGAATTTCAATCTAGAACCCTCTTAAGCGGCCGCATAGCAAATGACATGGGGTGATCAAGAAGTATTGCCGACCAGGATGAAGAAGACTAGAATTGCCATATTTGACCAATTTATATTCGTAAGCCAGCAATATCCCAAACCCATATTTGATCCTCAAGGCCAGAGGGAAGTTGGTATTTCCTTCTGCAGTACTGAGAGTCCGGCCAACGGCATTCCTGGGTGACTTGAAAGTAGCGCTGGTGCATCCGTCCTAAACTATGGTCGTCAGCACTGTCCCGGGGAAATAAGTAGATACTTACGCATGTGAGGCGCTCTATAAAGAGGGAAACTAGCGTAGCATCGACTCCACTCGCTCATCCGTGCTCCATGACAAGAGAGGGAAAAGACGGACCGCCCTCCCCCCGGTCAACGTGCGCAGCACGCGTGCTGGATACCAACCGGCATGAGTCAAAGGTTTCTCACTCGGTGAGAGTTGTGAAGAGGTCAATAATTGAAGCGGAGAGCTTGCCTCGCCCTCACCCAGCATTTCTTTCCCTCCCATCGGGCAAGTACACGTCAAGACGACTGAGCAGAGGTCTGAAAAGTATCTTGCCAGTAAAGCTGCAGAAGGACTTCGAGGTGACTGTTCCCTTGCATCCGTACAGAAGGTGGCGTATCGTCTGAGACGTTAACAGAAATTCTAAACTATGACCTCGGGCAGGAAGGAGTGTTTAGGTAGGGGTTGCTATACTTTCTCTAGATGTTCGGAGCCCTAATAGGAAGGTCATTGCCTGCACACACACCTCGTAATAAATTACATTACTTGCGCAGCATTGTAATATTATTGTGCAATATAACCTCAAGATATTTGAGTCACAGTGGGGTGTCGGACTTTGAATACACTTTTTGGACACTTTGAGAAACTACACTCGGGAAAGGATGGTTGCTTAAGTAGAACAAATTTACGCGACCGATTTTCGGCCCCCACATGAGTTGAAATGTACTTTTTTTCTGTGCGATTATTTGGTAGCAAATTTCGCCTTGAGGAAAGGCACTGTTAGGTTTCGAAAGACTCTAATTCTCAAATAGTGTCAAACCTGATCTGCTGATGCACTTGCGCTCACGGTTTCCAAACTGCATTCGGTATACTTTCCGTGTAAGGAAAACCATATATTTCTCTGCGGTATTAAGAGGAAGTCGTACAGGACTCATAAGATTTTGCGATAGATGTTAGCCAAGTTTTATACTTCATGGGCGACATTGACGAAACGGACATTTTATGGTCTTAAATAATCATAATTACAAACTTTTTCAACTGACAGATACCCTTTCTCCAAGTATGAAATCTCAAGAGGACGTAATTTGTTGACATATGGATGCAAAAAAAGATAATATATTTGTGCGTCTTCTCAATAAAATGTATGGAACTTTAAAAAGACGTCGAAAATAAGTAAGAAAAATCCATACTGCTCAAGTAGTCACTTTCTACCGGATGTGGTTCTGCAGGCGACCAGAGCGAAACTCATTCAGGAAAAAAAAGAAAAATTATGGGATTGTGGCGCATGTTAATCAATATTACAACTAGTTTGCAGTGGTGGTGGACTTGCGTGTTATATACCGCACCCTCTCCTTCCCCTCCCCCACCTGGATCCGGTGTCAAGAAGACCGGAAGCGGGAGGGGCTGCAGGTGACTGGCCCAACCGGAGCCGCCCCCAAGGCGTGCCGCCACACCCGGCTCGGACCCCACCTAATTACCCCTCTCTACACGAGATCATGGTTCAGAAGTTCAGTTAACATTTTGTCAGATGATTAGTCTCTACTAAGTATATGGACAATAATTACATCTTTGAAGTTTCCACGAATGTGTCCTTATCGCCACATGTCGTGGAACAGTGATAAAAGTCAACCCAGCATTTATAGCCCGTGGCTGCCGTAGGACCGTATGCGCACTGTAATTAACAGCACTCGCAATCACCGCTGGGGTCGTAATTGACGCGATGGTAGCTTATCAGTGCGCGTCCGAGTCGTTAATGGCCGTGATTTCGTCATCAGTGCTGGATGCTGGTGTGACGATTGCTCGGCAAATTGGCTCACTGTCACTGAAATAATCGCTCGCCCGCGCCCTCCCCATGTGACTGATTCCCCTGCCCAGGGAAAATCTCAGCACGGAATACGGTAACGGGAGGTCATTGAGCTTGTTGATGGATTGCGGGCCTGAGAACCATGACTCGAGCAGCTCGCACTTCACGCGGTCGTCATCCCTTGCGAAGATTTCGGCCTCTTGAAACTTGAAAATATGGCCGGGTTCCGTCGAATGAGCCGCCACCTGAGAGCTAGCTTCTCCCCGCCTCACTGCTGCTGCGTGCTCGGAAATTCGCGTACGGAGAAATCTCCCAGTCTCTCCGACGTAATTGCTTTGTCCGCAACCGCACCAGATCCGGTAAACGACTCCAGACGTTTCCTGCCGTGACAGTGGGTCTTTCGGCCTCATGGCTTGGCGCCTAATGGTTGCTTCCGGCCTGTGTTCAACCCCAACCCCAAGTGGAGTGAGGAGACGACTGACTGATTCCGAGACCTTCTTCGTGTACGGAAGAGTCCGCCAAAATTTGGGGCCGGTTGGATTTGGTCTCTGGTGTGCGCATATGGTCCCACGGCAGCCACGTGCTATAAATACTGCACTCCTTGAGTCATCATTACCCTTATCTGCGACTGTCTCTGATGGTGGATTCGAGTGAGAATCCGAAACGTCAGACCAATAAATTTCTTGTTCCAATGATCACATCTTCGTCTTCTAAACTGCTGCCTGGAACTCGCCTGTTCGCTTCTATCAGCAAAAGCCAACCAGTGAATTGGAGGACGCCATATTTATGCATTTCGGCCGAAATTGCGTCGGCACCAGGGACTTTTCCGCTCGACAGCTGTTACACTGCTCCGATTACCCTCTGTAAGGAAAACGCATAAGTGAGGTCGACATTGATTTCCCCCCTAGTTGACGGCCTCATCACAGACAGTGGGCCGGTGGTTAAGGACACCCCTAAAGTGCTTAGGCTTACGTTTCAGGGTCTGAAACTTCCCTAAAAGCAGGGTTGCGCCGTCCTAGACCGTTTTGACTGCCGTGAAGGGATTCTTCGTCTCATCGCGGTCACTGTGTCCGCACGGCACGAAAAGAAGGCAGTTTTTGGTGTCGGTCTGTCGTAAACTGCTTTTAGCAGATTGCAGGCGTCTGATTTCGTCGTCGAACCAGTCCTGGTGCTGCCGGTATGCGTGAAACTGAATGCTCCCAGAACGATGGTGCGGACAACGTCGCAAGGCTGCATTCGGCCAGTTTCTGCATGTCTATTTATTCCAGTCCGACAGTCAAGCAACAGCCTTCCTCCCACCGTGTCGTTCCCATACAAACACATTTAGACAACGCGTGGGCTTATTCGATCACATGTAGCACAAAGCGGCGATTGGCAGAAGATCACGCATCAGGCAGGAAACAAGGCATACGACAACGCGGTTTGGCAAAATCGTTATGAATCGTCGGAATCTCGCATGTGCAGGTCTTAAGTCCGCGTGTTGGCGAGCTTTGGTCACATGGAGTGAGGGACCCGCAAATGTGCAGCCTCGTCTTTCATGCCATGTGAGTCGATACGCCCAATTTCGTCTCCACAGCGGGCTAAGTCACAGAAGCGCTGGACGACAAGGGAAGCCAGATTGACTCACAGCACGCATCCATCAGGCAGCGCGGCCTCGCGAACCCATCACTAATGCCCTACACATAATAGGGGCCAGCTGATACGCCAAGGTGCTAGCCTTCACGTAGCATCAGCCACAAACTGGTTGACGGGTTTGGACAGTAGACAGTGAGACTGAAATAAGGCAATTCAAGCCCCACCGTGCTCAGGACTGAGTCAGGCTACGAATGGTCCATATTAATGTACCCTTTATGGCACCTTTATGCGCATGAGGTGACAGCTCCATGTACGGTACACTCTGAGGGACCGGATCGCGCGTGGCACGCGTAGACGGAGAGGCTATTTTCATCAGCTACTGCGCCCAAGCCATTTTGACATTGCCTTGCCATTGATGCAAGGTGGGTGCGGAAGGAGAGAGAGTGCGACAGATACTGTGCAAGTTTGTCTCACTATAAACTACAGTACGTGACCTATCTCATGAAATCTGATAACGGAAACTGATGAGGGAATCTCTGGACGCCTTTAACGTTCAGCATTTTGTTCGCTCATCCACTTCCTTCAACAAAATGTTCTTTGCTAGTGCAGAAATCGTGTTTACGTAATTTTATCAAGTAAAATATCAGTAAATTTTGGGCAAAAAATGGACGTTGGAATATATTCGTGCAATTTCCTATGCTAATACATGCCCTAGACTCTGGTTACGCATCTAAGCGACTTTTTCATTGATATGACAGTAGTTTACCCGCGAGCGTTTTAATAAACAGATTTAGGCGAACTTGAAAATTTATTTTATGTCCGATGTTACCTATAGTGATCAGCCTGCTGACACAAAGGTTATTTTAAGAAAATCTGAGATTTGATCAGGTTCTAAATGTCAAATTAGCAGATCTGTGTGATTTGGTGCCCTAAAGTGCAGTAATAACGCAGATAGGGATTCCTTCATTTAAGTGGGCTGAAATTGTTTTGCCGTTTGGAAAATTCTACCTGATGTCACATAAATGACCACTAGCGAATGGTCATTTCCAGTTTCGAATATATGAAACAAGCAAAACATTAATGGTTTCAGCAAAATATCAGTATTTATATGGGCGCTCTGCCATGCATTCAAAATCGAAGAACGAACTCTTAAAGCGAGCAAAAACAGTGAAAATGGCCTCAGTGTATAGAGAAAGGCACGTTCTTGCGTTTACCGTAGAAAAATATTAATACTGCTTAGGAGAGCGAAAGAAACGGCCACAAGTGTCAAATTTCTACTTGGTCTCGCCATGCAAAAATGCAAAGTACACAGAGATCCGTCAACGGCGTGCAGTAATAAAGCACTTCCTAGAGGAAACTCATTAAGGAAAATTTTCCCATTGTTCGAAGGCATATTCCTTGCTGACTTTCGTTGTGGACAGCCATTTTTCTCGAAAATGAAGTTTGATGTTTGAATGAGCCTTCACATGTGACCCAAACGACCATCTTCATGAAAAGGGGCGTCTGAACATTCATTAATTCGGTAAATGCTTTCCAGTATAATCTTATTTTAAAGTTCTCAACAGACAGTTAGTTCAGAATCTGTCTTTACGGACGATCGGGTGAAAAGACTGAAAATCATGAAGTATTCAGCAACATTTCGAGGCCGATCTGAAACTCAACGTAATCCAAAACGAACGAAAAGTGTAAATTAATTTAACGGAAGAAAAATTCGCTCTAGAAACAGAAAATGGTATGTTTACGATCATGCCATGCAGTTCTATTTAACTTTATTAGGCACCGAGCAGCCTCATGGCATGTCACCCTATGAAAACATTTGTTCCTACGACGTCCCCATCGATAAAATCAAGCAAATTCCGGCTTCTCTTGTTGAACCCCATCTCATTTGCCTAAAATGATTCAAAAATAACACGAATCGCTGGAAAACTGTTTGGGAATCTACACTCAGAATGTAGGCAATTGACAAACCGTCATATATGAAATCACACTACTCAGTAAACGACATTTAGATGCAAACTTCACTAAAACACTATTATTAGACGTTACTTTAGGTCTACTTTCATACTTACCGTGTTTTTGGTATGAGAATACATTCTATACATTTAAAAACGAAGTTTACTAAATTAGAGTCATTTCTGACGTTTTCAGGATATTGCGCTTTTCTAAAAAAATCGGCATTTCTAAACAACACAACACTGGCTTTAATAGTTCTTTTATGTTTTTAATTCTTTTAAACTTGTACTTAATTAACATAGACATTCGACTCATGAAATGGTGTCGGTTTGCGAGTGATTGGCAATCAATCGTAAATTTCGACACATTTCATGGGTTAGGTCACTAACTGTAAGCCACATGAAAATGCCCTGTCCTGTGTCCACTCAGTGGGGCACACGGCCAATATCGTCATTCGCGAAGGTCAAACTGTGCGGGGAGTGAGGCCGATCTCGCATTACGTAAGGTGGTGCATTCCTCACTATAAACAATCTGGCACTATCAAGATGCTCTAAAAGCTGTGGCCTGGAAAGCTTTCCGCCGAGGGGACAACTCTTTTCTTGTCTGGATTGGCGATCAGGTCGAAATGGCTTCTTCTCAATGTGTCCTTCGCTATACTCCTCCTTACGTGTGAGATCAGAGGACCCACGTCCTTTCCTTTGACACTTGGCTAGAATAGGTTTTGGGACCAGACCGTCCGTGGCATGCGTTGACAGACCTTTCTAGGCCACTATGACCATGCTCACCTTCGATCGTCCCGGTTACGTGACGCCATTGGGGCAAATGAAATAGGGGGCTACGGAAGTCGACTCTTTTATCAGCAAGTTTGCGCACAAGTCGTCACCGCGCTCTCATTACCCATAGCCTAGAAATCCACCATAACAGCAGCCCGTATTCCTTCATTCATCCTTGTCCGTCAGAGGATTGAAGCCACCGTTCGGTGTCCGGAATAGGTCCTTGACGGACAACAGCACAAGGTCATTCGTCGTGCTTAATAAGTTTTCTTCGCCAGAACATTGCGTTTTGCGTCAACTTAAGAGGCAGTTAATGGGACTGCGTTCATGAGACACACGATAGTTGCTCGTTAATGCAAGACATTCTGTGAATACATTCAAACAATAAAATAGTGCGCGCAATGGTCTATCCGTTTTGCGCTGTCCTATTACTCCTGTAAATGGGAGTATTTCGTTAATTATCGCTCCAAATGTCAACACGATTAGATAAGGCGCTAAGTTCAGACTATCTTGCCACACACTCTTCTGAGAATTTACGTTGGACGTGGAAGGGGGGGGGAAATACCCGACACCAGTGGGCTTACTTATTTTTTCTTTTCCAGCCTGCGTGGTGCAATAGCGGTGGCGATGCTTTGCTTGTACGATCAACTCACGCGTCGGACGCAGGTGCCTGAGTCTGTGAAGTGATTATTCGGCCCCTCCGTTGCGTGAATTGGCTGTCGAGTCGGCTTCAGTTGACCCCAGGGCTGTTCTAGTAAATCCCACTGTGGTTACCCTAACCAGGTTTCTGTGAGTGTGGCGACGCAAGGCCTGATAAAAGGGAGGGAGGTCGACACGCCGGGGGGCCAAACTGACATTTGAAACTCACGTGCCAGTGTAAATTCTTCGGTTTTAAATCGGCCTCGGGATCATTGCAAACCACCAAGATAGCGAAAATAAGTAAAACAGTCGATCAGGACGAGGCCAAATGAGGCTTTTACGTTTGATAACCGACCCAGTTGTTCGTTGAGTCTGCCAATAAAGACACGATAACAGCTTTCCCTTCAAACTACCTCAGCTGGGGCTTTATCCTTCGCTTACGTAGATTCTGTTATGCCTGGCGGACATCTGTCTATTTTGCGGATTGACTTGAAAGGCATGTGGAGGTGAGGATTCGCGATCTAAAAGGCACGCCAAAGTGCGCAGGCAACGTCAACAGCGCTTCATATTTCGGGCAATATTTAAGCACAACGGTGCATACCGAGAGAAGCATTTAGAACGAAAAGCTTCGCATTTCAAGAGGCCTGATGCTCATAAGGTTGTGTCCTCCAGCGATGGCGCTTTGCGGAAGCACACAATGTGCTTGATCTGTGATGAGGGGGCGCTGAGGGCTGTCGGAATCACAATTTGCATCGACTGGGCTTGTGTGGTTCAAGTCAGAGGCAAAAAGCCTTTCCTGTCTTTTGCTTCACGCTTTCGACATCAGACAGAAAATTTATTTGGGTGTTGCGTGCACTAACAAGCTGACAAGTGAGACACGGGTGGAGATGCGAGGTTGGCATGTGGTGCGTGAGCGCGATGTGATTAGAGAGCACGCATATGCACCTCTCGACCTCCAGCTGACGACATCGGACCATCCAGCCTGAGGTTCACCGTTCTGCTGGCCGCGACGACTTAGTTCTTGGACCTACTGCCGCAAATCGTCAAGCGTGGCGGAACTATTTGCGAGACATGAACGGGGTCAGTCGTATCAGGCCCAAGCATAAACTCAGTCAGCACAACCACGAGTAGAAATTCAGTGGCATGGCGAGTAAGCGAGGCAGCGGTAAAAAATAAAGATCCAAAAAAAATAAAGATCCAGATCTGCTCACCTTTGTAGCAGCACAGGCCTGAAGAGCGGCTACGGTGTTGGGTGTGGGGTGGGAACGGGTGGTGACAATCACGTTGTTCATTGACTCAGTCGGGTTGCCCTCCTCGAAGACGGGCTGACTGGGCAGAGGTTCGGCTTTGATGCCAAACAAGCCCAGACCCTCCAGGCCCCAGATGAGGCGTGGTGTGGTCTGATCCATCGGCGGCCGTCGTTCCTGCTGCGTCTGAATCACTAGCTTGAAGTCGGGCATGTAGAAGGGTTGACACACGACGCCACCGACGGGGCGTCCCTTTACGGCCAAGCCGATCAGTACGGTAACGTGCTCCAACAGACCCTACAGACAGGACAGACAAGACGACATGAAGTACGTAGTACCAGATTTATATGTATATATATATAAGGCAAGCAGTTCAAGGAGCCAGCGTTGCGCGCAAATGTGCAGACAGCCTGCCCCCCCCCTCTCCCACCGAAATAAAAGACAGGACGTTTGCGTAATGACGTCAAGACTGCCAAAATTGTACTAGCTAGAAAGTTCTCCCAGAACAATGCAAAACGCTGTGCAGAGATGGCAAGACACCTTACGTCACTCGGCGCGCTCAAAAGAAAGACTGCTTTTTGCTCACTAGGCGACGCAGACGTAAGAAAAAGCAATTAAAACGGATCACTAGACAGGGAAGACAGCTGTTGGCAACAGTCTAGACAGGACAGCACAATGACTAGCACAGAAGAATGAATATGAGGGGGAAGGGCGGGGCCGCAAGCAAGAAAAAAATGTTGTCTTCAAAGTTTGCCACTGAGGCACTGCAGAGAGGTGGCAATTCGAGAACAATGTGCGCTGACTAATAAACCCTGTAGAGAAAAAAGAAATGCGTTGCCAAACACGGATAAGATGGTAGAAAACTCAGGACTCCACCAAAGGGATAAAAAAGGACTAAAGTCAGCAGGAAAGGGGTGGATAGGAGCGGACTCCGCGTTGGCAGCGATACGACTGATATGTAAACAAACGTATTGGTGAGTAGAAACGAAGAGGTGAGTTTCAGGAAGTAGTTGTGAAAGAGATACGATCGCTGGGACAAGAGCTTTCTTAGCCTGATGTTTCGGATTCTCACTTGAATTCATCATCAGAAACAGAGTCAGATAAGGGTAGTGGATTACTCACGTGTTGCAGTATCTATTGGATGAACTTACTAGGCTGCTACACGCCTATCACAAAAATATTGCTGCTAGAACGACAAAGAAGGTCGATTAAGGACCGCACGCAGTGGCCCTAAAATGTTTTTGATGCAAAATGAAGAATCCTGCCAGAGGAGATGCGACAAGTAGACCTAGACTTTAGCTATAATTTCATTTCGGTGGAGTCGCTGAACACGGTGCTCATTATTGAAGGGGTGGGTCTGGGGAACCAGGTTTAAAATGAAGTGCAAGAAGCTTAGGTGCGTGTCAGAATTATTAAGATTACCATAACTTAGAAAGAGTACACTAGCCCAGAAGGCGACACGCAAGGAAGAATTATTGGAAATTCATTAGGTTTCTAACTTGGGTGTGAAGTGATCCCTGAGGTTACCAATACAAATGTATAAATTCGCAAAAAGCTAACATTCCTAACGTCAAAACTGCTAGTTTTATTGACAAATTCAGTGTATCGCTGGCGTTAAGGAGAAATGAAACACGAAGGACCCCATTTAAACGATTTACTAAGCGACTGAACACAGGTTCGAAAAGGCCCCAACTGGCACTCCCAAGGTGTCTGACATTGAGGCAAATTAGCTCTCTATATTCTTATGTTTACGATCACTCTGTCTTAGTACGATGGAGAGGGAATGCGTCCTCGGTAACAACACCTCAGAATAATAGGCTGTGCGCTCCCCGTAGGTCCCCTTCTCACTTTTGCGCCCAAGGGGAACACTTACTGTGACAGCGAGACCGGCGATTCACATAATGCCCACTGTGAGCGCAGGGACAGTGACTTGCGCGTGAGTTAATTTATAACGATAGAGGACTTTCACAGCACCTATCGCACCCTTTCGTCTCCCAGCTGGGCCCGGTATCATGAGAGGGTCAAAAAGACCGGAGGCGGGAGAGGGCACAGGTGACTGGTGCCGCGTGAACCCACCTAGGCGTGCTACCTGGTCCACGCACAAAGGACCAGGATCCATAACAACAGGGGAGGACGGCTCAGATTCCAAATAAGTGGGCGTGCCACTGCACCCTCCGTCTGCTCACTCCTTCGATGCGTAAACCTCAATTCTCCCATGCACTGCAACTGATAGTGGATTACTGACAACATGTTAACAATTTGCAACCATATATTCGGATTCAAAATGCCACTTCGGAGTGCCCACTGTCACATAAGGTAACGCTTACGCGGTTCCTTTGTCGCCTGGCAGGGAATTGCCTGGTCGAGATTCCTACCATCAGAGTATGGAGCTAGTTTGTTCTAAGACGCCAGTTAAATCCATTTTATTGTGAAGAAATATTCTACTTACCCCAGTAAGGGCTGACCTCACGTGAGAGCAGTACGGGCTGTGCGTGTGAACATTTGTGTCCGGTCGCAGACGCTGATCGGCGGTATGACCGGCTGAAAAAGGCATGAATAAGCCCCAGCCAACTTTCTCGACCCCATATTTGCGTGAGGAGTGGGTCAGCTGTTTGGGCCAGTACTTCTGAATCAAGCTTGCGGATGATGATGATTATGCTGACGATAACGACAAGAATAATGATACAAAACTAGCATAGCTTACCAATTAACTAATGGTCCCTAAAAACTTGGTGAGAACCAGGAAAGTATGGCTGCAGAGATTATCTATTGACTGTGAGTTGTCAACTGCGAGTAACTGAAAACACAAACCACAGAAAAGAAATTATTTAACCGTGCAAGAGTGATCCACTTTCAGAACTGTTTGGCCACCTATGTTGTCCGTGAAAGCATAAGTAGTGAGTCCACACATTGTCAGACGTTAGGTCACTACGGCATCGGCACCCGTACAGACTGCGATCGCGAAAGATGGCGTCAGTAAGTAAGCGATTCTCGGGACGACCGGTAGTAAGAAAATTGTCCTTTTACTGGATTCAGCTAGTGCTAAGAAATAGATTTTGTAGAATAATGCCCCTATCCTAAAATTGTGAGGCGTTTCCCATTCGCGCCAAATATTTGATTTGAAGTACAAGACAGCAGGTGGTCCTAGAATGAGGCCTTATGATAGTTAATAACCCCGCAAATATACTGCCAGAGACGGTCTTCGTCTTTGTTAAACAGATGTGTCAAAACGTAAAATCAAATCGAAAAATGGGGGAGGAATTAGATTTATCGACTAACGCGAAAGATAAACAGCCAACCGCGTAGTTCAAGGCTTCATAAGTCAAACACCGCTAATAAAATCTGTGGACACTAGGTCAAGTGTTGCCTTGAAAAGAGTTTTATCACAACGTACTACGCAAATCGGTTCTAGATGCTCAGTATACAATAAAGACTAACTCACATATCAAACAAACTAACGCATACGGGTACTGATATATGTATGTAACATGCGGAATATCAATCTCTCATCTTAAGTAATCCATATTATTTATTCCTTTACAGATATATATATATATACACATATATATATATATATATACATATCCTCTTTGACTGCGGAAATATAACTGGGTTCTGAGCCAAGCGGTTGCTAAATGCAGTGAACGCATCGGCGAAGACGGAACTATGCTGTTGCAACAGGCGATCGATAAACGGGCCAGGGAACTACAAGCAAAACGAGATATCGAGCTGGCAGATAAGCTTCGAAATATTAGCCGCTCGTTTCAGGAGGAGAACGACATCCTAGTCCACAATCTATCCTCCAAAGAGCTGACTCCTAAACAACTAAAAGTGCTGAGTCACGAGGCCTGCTTCAATACCACAGACGCCGATCCGGTCAACCTCGTGGCAACAGTGGAATCAATTCTAAAACAACCCGAAGAATCCGACGAAACAAAACATCTCCTTTGGCAGCAGGTTACCGCCTTGGTGATGGTACACAAACCACGCACAATTATCACCAGAGCGGAACAGGATGCTCTCAAGAAACTGAAGGTCGACACGAGCATTGTGATACTGCCAGCAGACAAAGGGCGTTCTACAGTTGTCTTGGGCAAGACCGACTACAGTCAGAAGGCTAACAACCTGCTGGATGATCGACAGGCCTACCTCTGATGCGATGATGAGCCGATGAGGAAGTTGTTGACGCAGTTGGACAAAACGCTCGCTGAAATGCAAACAAACAAAGTAATAAGCAAGTCGGTACGACTGGCCATTAAACCAACAGATGCAGCCGCACCAAGGTTCTACGGACTACCCAAAGTGCCCAAGGTCGATGTTCCCCTCCGACAAATCATGTCACTTCGCGGCGCGCCAACATTCAATCTGGCTAAATGGCTGTTCCGACACCTGAGGCCTCTCACCTCAGGCGCAACCACAACGGTCTGTTCAGTTACTCAGTTTCTGGAACGGCTCAGGGGAACGTAACTCACTGCAGACGATGTCATGGTGTCATTCGACGTCACCTCTCTCTTCACTTCAATCCCGCAGGACCTGGCAATCGAAACGGTCGGCGAATTGCTCGAGCGGCAGTATGACGAGACGGACAAGTCAGTGAAACGGAGACATCTAGTCCAACTTTTAAAGCTCTGCCTGAAGACGTAGTTCACCTTCGAGGGGACCATGTGCGAACAAATTAAGGGGACGCCGATGGGATCGCCTCTCTCCGGCTTCATCGCTGTGGCAGTTCTGCAAAAACTAGAGAGCCTGGTTTTCACAACTCGCAGGCCAAAGTTTTGGACTCGGTACGTCGATGACACCTTCGTCATCATCAAACGAAAAATAATCGAGGAATTTCACAGTGTCCTGAATTCCGTCTTTCCGGACATCAAGTTCACGATGGAGGCGGAAAACAACAACCAACTGCGGCTTCTGGACGTTCTTGTCCATCGAAAACCCAACGGGCACATAAAAACGACGGTGTATAGGAAGGCTATCAACACAGGCCAAATCCTAAGCTATCGCAGTAAACACCCGTTATGTCACAAACGCGGCTGTGAGCGAACCCTATACAGTAGAGCTGAAACACACTGCAGCGAACTGGATGGCAGAAGGAGAGAACTCCGCTATCTTCGGCGCCTTTTTATGGCCAACGGATACCACCGTAACTTCATCGAGCGCAGCAGGCAGTCTAAACCACGCCAAAATCGGGTGACAGAACAGCCAAAAGTCTGGCGTGCACTGCCTTACATCGACGGCGTCTCTGAGACATTTTTCCGCCTCCCAAGACCCTTAGGGATCGGGATCGCTCATCGACCAGACTCAATCATTCGACATTTGGTTGAGATCGAAGGCCCCTTGCCACGAGATGAGACGACAAATGTCATCTACCGGGTCCAGTCTAACTCTTGCGAAGCTAACTACGTCGGAAAGACAGGCAAACGGTTACAAACCCGCGTTAACGACCACATGCGGACAGTGAGGAGAATGGACCTACTGTCTCTGGTGGCGGAACACTGCGCGGACTCTGGACACACTTTCGCCTTCCAGAACGTCAAAATTCTGGGTCGAGGGCAATGACCGCGTAGCCAGGGAAAAAATCGAGGCCTGGCACACGGAGACTACATCCATAAATCGTTGTGTCGCCCTTCCGGCAGCCTACCAGGCCCTCCGGACGCAGTTAAACGAACGAAAGTGCAAGCACGAAGTCAGACCAGACGTGAATCCAAGCACGAGAGAACCTACGACGAACCCACACGTAGCCATACCGCAAATCGCGCCCGACGAAGGTGTAGTCATCGATACTGTTGCCCCAATTACTACTCCGGCAGACGGGGAGAAACGCGGTCAGAGGGATGCAATGAAGACTATAAACCCAGGACGGCAACTAAGGTCAACGCGAATGCGGGCAATGGCCACCAACGTTCAAATACCGCCCCTGATGAGAGACAAGCAGATTGACAGCAATCACCCTCCCTCTCTGCCTCGGCGACTACAGAGACGATCCCTGTGCGTATGCGGGCTATTGGCGCCAAAGTCGATTAACCACTCCCCCTTATAATTACCATCGTGCTAACATGACTGTTGTCTATCTCTGCCTCCTATAAATACTGTGTAATGCCGTACGATACTCACCTCCGACGATGAAAGCTTGTCTGCTTTTGAAACGCCAGGACAGTACAATCAGGGTTCCCGGGATCTCTTTTTCTTTACACACATACACATAAGTTTTTACCCCACAAATCCAATTTATCTAACCGGATATGGTACACAAGCCTGGTAAATCCTAATTTACTTGCTAATAGTTGGTATGTATTTCACATCTTCCGGTTAGGCCAGGGGGGTTTATTTGCGAATCGCAAGGCTTGAGGCATGCCACAAAAACGAACCTAATGACAGTTAGTACTTTTTTAGGATGGTCGAATGTCCATTCTGTTATGGTGGGAGTTACAGTAAGGCATGGACGAGATACGCAGCCCAGTCCAAAGTTTGGCTGGATGTCCTAACCCTTAAGAGGACATTAATTTCTGAAATCATAAATGGCTGTGCATAGCAAAGCTCAAATCGTGAAACCGAGAAAGGCGTCCTAAGACAGTTGGCGCGTGGCCAGCAGAGCAAGCAATCACAGCGAAGACTCGCAGTTCAGATGCAGGCGACGTGCATATACTGATTGTTGCGGGCAAAAATAAAGGGGACGCAAAAAACTTGCCTGAGCAAATTCGCCAGTGCCATCAAGGGGGTCCACCCACACAACCACGTCTTCCAAAGCAGCAGACTCTAGAGCTGGGGGACATCGTTTACTGAGGACCTGAGCATCCATATCTTCAACGATGTGAGATAGCGGTTGATCCTTTCCCTGTAGGTCTTCTTCTCCTAATTGAAATTAACAAGACTTCGATTCGAAATAGACGGATCCATCAAAAGATACAGTTTTGACTTTCAGCTATATATACAAATAATAGCAGACTGACTTCAGCTGCCGCGCTTACGGACACGTGATGAGGAATAAAGTTCGAAGATTTTATGGGCAGCTTGGAGGATGTCCTTCTGAAGGCTATTGTCAACAAATATTAACAACTTAAAAAATAAAACAGGGAAAACTAGAGTCCACGGGAATACAGAAAGTCAAATGAGGACCTCTAACTAGAGCAGCCACGGCATGTCACTCTTCAACGTTTATACTTACTGTCGATCTAATTACATAACATAATGAATGAACTTCTACTTCGGCTTTACATAAAACTAAGACACAACTATGCTCAACTAAATAAATAAAAGAGGAAAAATATGTGGATCGATGCTGCTTCCCACCCTGAGGATACCGGTGCAGCAATAAATGGCAAAATAGAACGAAAATGCCGAAACACTGAAGGAAAACACCTTTGACTACATTAAACGGCCAATAATTTCACTAGCAGAAGGAATCAACAGACGACTAGGTAATGAAGATTAAGTCATCACCGATTATACATATTCCAGGAAACTTCTGAGACAGCGAGGAGACAATACAGTGTTGGGCGCTGCGATCAGCTTGTGTTTGCAAGTCATTAACACCCTTCTCTACTATTCCGAGTTGACCCCCCGAGCAGACTTTCCGAATTATACATGCAGCTTCCTTTGCTAGCGTGACTGAAGAAGCCATCAAACGCATTATTAGCGGCGACTCCATCCTTGCGCATACGAGCCTTCAGGGTAAGAATAAGATGAATACCGCGGCGGAGATTGACCGTAGTAGAAGACTAATAAAAAGTGGGGATTAGCGCCACCGACTCAAATGATATATTCTGCGCCTCGAGCTTGATGAAAAGTTCATGAACTTTTAAATAATGTGAAACGTTTTAATTGTCATTTCGAGGGTGTAAAACTCGTCCGTGGCATGTGGCAATTGTCAAATAAGGGCAGTCCTATTTATGCTTGCCACTGAACTTAGTTTAGCAGCACACCGGCCAGGCAGTCAGTCCAAAAAGTTAACCAGATTTAGGTGTCCTAGCCACTGCATTCCTCTTCTGCCACAATGCATGCGAGCATGCGACGGTAACAATGAACTGCAGTTTCCGACAGCGGTGATTTGACGCACACCGGTTGTTGAGAGGCGGACCGTACTGGCTGCAAAATTGCCCGACACAAATACATACATTTAAAATGCAAAAAAGATCAAAAATTTAAAACGTTATTTGCAGCTGTGGATGGCGGATAAATTTTTTAAACTCTATTATCGACGACTATATTCGACGTCAGTTAGTCAGTCAGTGTATTTGAGTGAAATAGGCTTACGCCTTTGAACTCCCTATTTGTACATAAAAAAAATCCATAAACAAGCAAAAATGTGAAGAAATTACAGCATTAAGTGAATGCATACATTGATTCACATATGTCACTGGTCACATGGCTAAAAAGTCACATAGCCCGCTTGTTGCTGCAGCATATATCGGTCAAGGCGACATTTAAATGTCTCCACAGATTGAGACATAACAACCGTCTCGGACAGGTTATTCCACGGTTCCACGACACGGTTGGAGAAGAAATATTTTCCCACATTCAGGCTACTCTGTGGCACACGTAGCTTGAAGGGATGTCCCCGGAGGTGAGTTGTAGTGGCGAGTTGGAAAAATTAATCGCACCGAAGGGCACAGTCCAAGCCGCGCATGATACGGAAAGTTTGTATCATGTCTCCGCGCAACTGCCTATAACTCAGAGGATAGAGATTAAGGTTAGTTAAGCGGATCTCGTATGACAGTGCACTTTGACCTCTTATTAATTTTGTTGCTCGTCTCTGCACCCTTTCGAGCAGATCGTAATCCTGATGCGTCCACGGTCTCCAGGCCTGAATTGCATATTCGAGATGGGGCCTTAATAACGTGCCGAAGACTTTGGTGAAGCAGTCTTTATCGAAAACTACGAATGTCCGCTTGATGGCATATAGCATTGAGGTTGCGGCCTTGGCCGCCTTACAGCATTGTGTAGAAGGCTTTAGGCTGTCGGCAAACCAAACTCCGAGATCTTTCTGAGTTTCTGCTTCTCGGAGTAGCATTCCATTCAGATGCTATTGCCGCGTACTAGGGGTCTGATTTCCGAGGTGCAGAATGGTGCATTTGTTCAAATTGAAGGACAAGAGCCATCTGCAGGACCACTCGTCCAATCGACAAAGATTTTCATGGAAGTTGGTCTCGTCGGCA